ACACCTGGGCACAGTTTGGCAACCAAGCAAACGATTAACGTACCCTATTATAATCGAAATTCTAGTACTACCCAATGTTTGTTTTGATTCGCTATGAAAGTTTGACAGATAAAATGAGGGGTTCGTACCAGAGCACCAGAGCTACTTAGTACCAGAGCAGGGCCAAAAAGTTGAGCTCGTTTCTTCGGGATCTTCTGGTCTTAGAATTACCTCTATGGCATTAGTGAGCAGTTTCACTAATACACGAGGGGGGTGACACATCTAAATCTCAATTCTAGATGCTCAAAAAATCTCACACTAGCGAATAATTCTTCGAAAAATCTTCTTTCATTTGTCGCATCTACTTGCATCGCGCATCATCTTTTTGCATGAAATCTTCAAAATCGTGATAAATCTTCTTTCTATCTACTCAGCGTACGCGCAGCTAGCCACAGCAAAACACAATATTTCCTGCATCGTAGATAGAGTCGTCCCGCTCGCTAATACATGCGTTTTACTGATTGAAAATAAAAATAAAAACCGCTGTCAAGTCAAACACTTTGACAGCTGATTTCGTGGTTTAAAATAATAAACAAATCGATTTTACATGGCTGCACTAGCAAGGTTGTGTCAGTGAGATCTTGCGTCGAGAAGTCAATGCACCTGCGCAGCGCACGTGGCAAATGCAAGGGGGGGAGGTGGCTGTCAAATACGAACAATCGTCGCCTACCTCGCATAACTGGTTCCAAACGTAAACAAGTCATAAGAAACCTACAGCGTTTGTTTACGTTTGGAACCAGTTTCATACAAGCATGATCAGTAGGTTGATTTGACAGCACGTCTCCCCCCAGGTCAAATGCTAAGAGGAAGAGGAGACAACTGGCTTCTTTTTGTCTGTGACGTGTTCTTCATCTCTCGCGGAAACGACCGTGCAAAAACTATTTCATTATGGGCGACGCAGTCGACTGTCAAAACACAAGAAAATAGATTCCCTGTTGTAAAAATTCTCGCGTTTCTATACGTTCACTTGACCAATCAGGAGGTGGTTCGTGCTTGACAGAAAATGTGTGCATACAAGTCCCCCTATCGTCTCCTCTCCTCTTAGGTCAAATGTAATAAAAGTAAACACAAGAAATTTGTGTGGGTTTTCTCAAGAATTTTCCGTAGAAGTTCATTGTTATCAGTTTAATAATAAACCATGAATGATACATGAGGCAAATCACGTCGAAGCCAATCGGTTGTAGGCCCTGAACCTTCACCAAACGCACCTAACCGCAAATCTATATGGCGGCTGCTGCAGCGTCGAATGGAAACGACCTTAGAATGGAAACGGCCGTGGAAAACGTTATTGGTCTATCTGGAACCAAGTATGTCAGCAGTTGATCCATAGAGGTAACTCAAAGACTAGTAGGTCCCGAAGAAACGTGCTCAACTTTTTGGCTCAGCTCTGGTACTATCTTCGGTCCCAAGCTAATCGATTCACCCCTCGAAACATAGGAAAATCCACTAGCCCCTCATTTTATCTGTCAAACTTTCATAGCGAATCAAAACAAACATCGTGTAGTACTGGAATTTTGACTAGCATGGGGTACGTTAATCGTTTGCGTGGGACCAATAGGCTAGTCAAGTAGTGAGCCAATTTAAAATCTTTAGTTTCGTATTGATTGTTGGTTGATCTATCCGGAACCAAGTATGTTGGCAGTCACAAATGACATCAAGATGCCTAACCGAAGTCGATTTTATTCTAACTAGTTTTCAATCTGACAAGTAGGCTTACTCAGATCGGGCTTTTCTACTGCCGCTGCCGTTCCGCTTCCGCTGTCATTGCGCTTGGCCCTTAACATTATCATTAATCTCTAAATTCGGATAACCACAACCGTGAATTTTCGCCCAAGAATCCCCAAAGGATTCCCCAAACAGCGCGCATTCTGTTGCCTGTCCGAAATAGTATTTCAATCCGCGCAAAGCAGACCAACACCGGGCAACCACTAATGATCATCAACGAATGACACCGCTGTAAGAGCTAGGTGTTAGCAGCGGAAAACTTTCGTCACTTAACCGTTTCTCGTCACGATCGTTCATGACAATGAGCACCGTGCATCCGCGTTGTTCCGGTTTGCTGGCAGGTATCTATCGGTGATCACCGCAGTCAAGTTCGATCCCGGAAAGAATTCTGCCTTTTGAAAGGTCGCTAAAGTTTGTCCGGTATCAGCTGGGGTGGCTTTAGATCACTGTCTTGGTTCGTATTCTACTGTTGGTTGTGTTGTTCAATCACTTTCAAAACAAAACATTTCGACAGTGAGCATGCATAAGGGCGTTTACGCGATGATCGATTCTCTTCATCGGTTTTCTCTTTGCATTGCTACAGCTAAGCGGAACAATTTTCTAGAATTTGGCTATCAAAAGCACCAGCAAACGCACCGAGAAACGTTAATCCAAGCGAGTTATTAACAAAAGAGAAAATCAACGAAGAGAATCGATTATCGCCTTTACGCCCTTATGCATGCTCAGTGTCGATTTGAATTGTCAAATTAACCGAGTTGCCAAACATGCCGTTATTCACAAGCAAACAACGTTGGTCTGGAGACTGGCACTCTCGGCACTGCCTGCCCAGCTGCGGCACACTGAGAAAAAAGTTGTTTCAAAATAGGTGTTTAGAGTGACCATCCCTTGGGTCTACATTTTTGTAGCAGTTAAACAAATACTAACATTAAAAAAATAATAACCTAATTGTGCTGTAAACTTTATAAAATACACCAATTAATAAAACTACAGAAATTCATTCTTTTGATTTCCTGTCCATTACTGTTGGATTGAGCTACATACATAGGCAGTCGCGATTCCACTCATGTGATATCCCATAAGCCATAGAAGGTGTGAATTGCAGCGCACCCGCAATCAGAGAATCTCTTCGGACGGATTGTTCGTTGGCAGTTGTTCGAAAGTGATATACATCTCATCGATAGTAGCATTTTGAACACCTGGAACTTGAACTCATCACTCTGCTGTTATTGTAGCTCATGGTCGTAGTTTGTCTGAGTAATTCGCAATGCCGTCGTTTGCGTCGTGGCGATTTTCCTTGTGCTTTTGGATGCTACTTCTGTTGCCAAAGGAAGGAAGTCAGATGCCAATTTATGCGATGAATAGCAGTTTATGAGTCGACGATGTTGGCATATGGACACTATCCGCTCTTGAGCTTAAACGCAGTGAATTCCAAAAGGAATTCCGGAGAATTCCAGGAAAGCTCAGTGCTAAACTTTCCCTGCTAGCTTGAACAATTGTTCAGCTGGAGATCCTTCTTAGTGGACGCCATTCTCATGCTACTTATGGAAATTCAGCAAAGTGCTAAATACTGGGAGAAGCAGAAACAAGCCATTATCTCAAAACAGCTATAATTGGTGATGGTATCCGTTAACTCAGGCCTAGTGGTCGTCTTGAATCATCGTTACAATCCGTACATTCTGTAACACCGATATTCCGGACAGAATTATACAATCCAGGAAGTCCAACATCACAAGTTCTCATCCGCAAGAACTCAGCATCAGTTTTCAGTTGCTTATGAAATTATTGTGGAAAAATATTTCAATCGGCTTCAGCGCACCGATGATGACAGATTTTAACACAAAAATCAGGTTGCTATGTGTATTTGATATTCATCAACGCGAGTTACTCAGAGCAACTCAGGGTTACTCAAAATTAACTACTCCGATTTTACTCATGAGCAAAAGCTGTCCTGCCCCTTGATTAATACAGAAACTGTCAATGTACTGAAACTGTCAATCAAGCAGAAGTGCAATTCTTAACACGTTGGACGTTGACTGGCCACTGTGGCAAGCGATCCGTTTCCTACTAATTTCACAATCTTGATGGCGGTTGCTGAAAGCGCACAAACAATACAAACCGCGACCAACGCACACTTCGATTGACGGTTTCACAGAAAATTCAAACTCCGCCAAAGCCTGCCTTCATTTTCAGCACACCGAACCCGAAGCGTGCAATATCGATTCAGTGTACAGAGAGCAGCCGTTTCGCACAGGGAAAGATGAATGACGTCCCCCGGTTGCTCCAGTTTTCGGAAATGAACTTGTTCACATGTCGCAAAATTTTACCGTTGCTGTCATTTTGGAAGGAGGAGAAAACAACAAAGAGCCGAGCGGCGCGAAGAAGGACGAGGAAGAGAGTGCCCAGAAAACACACCACACCCAGCGAGTGAGGGATGATTTATCTCGATAATTAACTTAGCATCTGTGTGCATTTCACCGGTTCGGCTCGGCGGTGTGGTGTGGTCTACTGCAGTGGAACAGACAGGATAGTCCGAAACGAGCTCTGACAGGGAATGATTCATAATTTTTCCATTTTCTACCAGATCAAAAAAAAACGAAAACAGAACCGACTTTGTCTTTCTTCCGCCTTGAAGGCATGCCGTAACATCGTAAAAGCGGTGATGGTGCTGCGAGTGTCTGCGAGTGCTGCTGGAACGAGGAAGACTCCGTTGTCAGAACGAACCAGCACACGTGTGAGTCTGTGATCCGCAAATTGAGTCGACAGCTACCCCCAGTATCGAGTTAGGGAGGATAAAGGCGGAAAAGGATAAGACTAGTCATCCCAAGACTGACGGAATATGATTTACATCGAGGGTAAAGATATGGATATATGAGCTTTTTATGCAGTACGTTTACTTAGAAATCCAGCCGACGTCGGCTGTGATGGATTCTTTGCTCTTTTTCCTCTTCCCTGTCACTTTAATGCCTCATATACACTTAATGGTAGGGGGGTCATATCTCGTTTACTTTATCGCGAGAATTTAACAACTCACCACGGGATGATGCCATGCAGAAAGTTCGTTTCGGTTATTAAAAGTTGGCCTTTGGTACGGAAACGGGCAAAAAACGGTTATTCTCGCTTGTATGCAACATTTCCCGCATGCAACCTTTCACACCATTTGAAAGTATCAACTTGACCAAGTGCAAAACTTGCACGCAACTCTATGCTCGTAATTAATCTTGATTTCTTCCTTTCAGCACCTATGTACGAGAGCGATCAGACTGACTTAGAGAACTATGGCGAATCGGCGGGCTGCTACTATAACTACAATCACTACAGCGAAGGTGACCGTATCATGACGAACGAGCCCTGCCTGAACTGTACCTGCCATGATCGTATGCTGATGTGCTACCTGCGAGTGTGTCCTTTCACCAAGGCGATCGGTCAGGATTGTACGATCGAGAAACGTGAAGACCAGTGCTGCCCGGTGATCACCTGTCCCGAAGTCGAAGTTCAGCTGGTCGATCATCAGACCTCAACCGATGCTGCTGGCAGCTCGACGGCGGTTGGTGCCCCAGATCAATATGGTTGTACGATCGAAAACCGATACTATCCGGAAGGAGCTCAAGTAAGTCAACAATCGATCAACTCCAGTTAGTCTCCAATCTAACCATCCCAATATCTCTCTCCCAGGTGCCATCAAATCCCCACAAGCCTTGCGAACTGTGCTACTGTATTCGTAACATGACCACTTGTGTCATGCAGGAGTGTACGCTACATATTGACGGATGTCAGCCAATCTACAACAAGGGCGTCTGTTGTCCAGTAAGATACGATTGCGGTAAGTAGTTCATCACCAGGCGCCTTGCACAGCTCGATCCTCAAGACCCATTTTCTTCTTCTTCTTACCGTTCACAGATCACGACAGGGAAATGAACCCACTGCAACTGGAAGATGAAATGACCACCACCGTACGCCCGACACCTGGCTTCATCCTTACGACCACGATGTCTCCGACCGTCTCAACGGACTGTGTCCACAATAGCGAAGTGTACGCCGATGGTTCCATGATCATTACCGAAAAACCATGCGAACACTGCTACTGTATGCGAGGAGACATCGTGTGCGCCGTTCAGGAATGCGGAACTCCACTGGAAAATGAAGGCAAGAACTGCACGGCACTTCCGCCAGCACCAGGACAGTGCTGCCCGGATACGTACATGTGCGACGGAACAACGGATGCCACTACGACGCTCCGACCGGAATCCGATGATCAAATTGCTGAAGATGAAGACGCTACAACCGCCCAGGCACCAATAAGCAGTGACGAAACTGCCAGCGCACCAGTCGACGATGAGGAAGACGTTCAGCAGCAACACATTCCACACCCGGAAACCATGGTTGATGACAAATCCGAAAGCGAAGAAGAACAAAGTATCGAGATGGAACCAGTTCATCACGACGATGACGATGATGACGAAAGTGAGGAAGCTGATGAACAACAACACCATGAAGCTCCTGTAATGCCAACTGCTGACGACAAGCCAACCACTAGTCAACCAAGCCAAGCCGACGAAAAGGAAGCAACCACCCAAGCCGCCGTTCAGGACGAGAAGGAACCGGAACCAGAAGCTCCAGCATCGGACAGCGTGGCTCTCGATGAACACGATGAAGAACCAAAGGTTACCACGGCTGCTGCCCCTGAAGCTGATGATGCCAAGCCTGAATCCGAAAAGGACAACGAAGTCGAAGTCGAACAAGCAGCGGTTAGTCACGATCTACCAGAGGAATCCGCCACCACCGAACACCCAGCTGAACCAGAGAAGGATCTCGTAGCCCCAACTGTCTCGGATGACGAAGCCTCTTCCTACACAACCATGGCTCCAGCGAAGGAAAGCGACGAAGAAATCCCTGCTGAAACGACCACTGCATTTGCTTTCACCGCCAGCGACGACGATGTTGGTCAGACTACCGAAAGCCGCACCTACCTTCCACCGTTCCACGATTCGGAAACCACAACCGCTCGTATCGAGTCTGACGAACCAGCATTCGCTACCACCATGGCACCGCTGGCTGCCGCTGACGACACTGTGGAATCCGACGACAAACCAGAAAGCCCAGCCCTTGAATCCGACCAACCAGAAGCTCCAGCCACCACCGTGAAGGGCATCGAATCCACCACCTACACCAAGGAACCGGCTCACAAATTCGAAGACAATGTCCCAGAACAAGACTTCATCGAACTGCCACCAGCCGAGATTGTAACGGAATTGCCACCAATCCCAACTACCGCCAGAATTCCAGAAATGCCAACGGAAGAAATCATGACTCATTCACCACCGGAAGCCGACTCGCACGTTCTGGACGATGCCATGACGACTACTGCTCCAGTTGCCGATGCCGTGGTTCCAGCTGAAGACGATAAGAAGGATACACCCGCTGTCGATATGGACGAACCAGTCGAAATGAACACCGTTATTCCATCGAGCGACGACAAGAAACCTCAGGAAGAAACAGATGAGGAAACACCAGACAAGATGTTCCCAGAAGCTATCCCTGGAGAAGGTGATTGTTTGGTCGATGGTATCACCTACAAGAACAATGCATTGATCCCGGCCAACAACAAATGTCAAGATTCATGCAAGTGTTCCAACAGTATTGTGCAATGCGAGATGGTCCAGTGCGCTTTAGCTCCAGCCAAGGACTGTGCTCCAGTGCCAGCTGCTCCTGGTGAGTGCTGCCCAACGTACAAGTGCAACGCATTGGAACGAGACGAAAGCGTTTCCGAATCCGACAGCGATGTCTCTGAAGATGCCAAGAAGCCAACCGAAAGCTCGTCCACCGAAAGTTCCTCATCTTCCGATGACACTACCGAAGAATCCAAGGAAGAAGATGAACCATCGGCGAGCGATTCCACTTCTGATGATAGCGACGAAGAGGAAGAATCCAACCAGGTTGAAGATCAGGGTAAGGTAACGACTCGTCGTCCAGTTGTCATTACACCAAGCAAATCTGAAGAACAGGACCAACCATCTGAAAGCGATTCGGAATCTGATAGTGACAGTGAAGTCGAGTCAGATGAAGCCGAAGAACCGATTAGAATCACATCTGCGGCCATTGTTGCCGACGATGAAATCGAGCAAGAAAAGGTCACTTCAGCACCGGCTATGGACGAATTCGTGCCAACTGAAAGCCAGGTTGCCGAAAAAGAACCCGAACACGATGAAAAATTGCCTGTTGAACCGGTTGAAGCCGAGAAGGAGGAAGACGAACCAATCATGGTTGCTGCCCCAACTACTACTGCTCCAGCTGCCGACGAAGCCGTTCATACCACCATGGCTGCCGTTGCTGCTGACACCGCCGCTGATGAAGAAGAACAACCAGCCACTCCATCTGAAGAGAAGGATGAAGAAGCACCTGCTCACGATGATGTCACTACTGCTAAGGCCGTTGAACAAGCTGACGAGAAGGAAGAGGAGCCAATTGCTACGGAGAAAGCTCCCACAATGGATCATGCTGCAGCTGAGTCATCGAAGCCAGAATCAGAGCAAGACATGCCAGTTGAATCAGTCGCTGCCACTACAATGGCTACCGAGAAGGACCAAGAGCAAGACATGCCAGAAACGACAGCTGCCGCCGCTCAAGATGAAGAAGCTCCATCCGAAGCCACCACAGCTAAACCAACCATTGCCCACGATGAAGAACAACAACCAGAACAAGACGAGCAACAGAAGGTTGAAGATGTTCCAGCTACTACCGCCATGCCTGTTGAAGCTGCTGCTGATGATGTCGCTGTTCCAACCGAAAAGGACCAGCAACCAGAAATTCAAGCAACCGAGAAACCAGAATCCGACGCACCAATGATGACTGAGGAAGCTCCAGCTCAAGTAACTGTGAAATCAGAAGCCGAAGCTCTGCCGATGACCGAAAAAGCTCCTGCTCAAGCACCAGTTGATGATAGCATTCACTTCCCAGTTGATGAACCGGAACACGATGAGGTTCAGGTTGGCCAAAAACCAATGCCAGTTGAACCAGTTGTCGAGGAAGAGCATGAGCCGATTGAACATGACGATAGCATTCACTTCCCAATTGACGAATATGACGAAAGTCCAATCTTTATCCCAACCGCCGAACAGGATCACGTGATGGAACATGAAGAAGACGAACAGAAACCACTTGATGATCACGTTCCAGGACATGTAGATGAACACAAACCAGCTGACGAAATGCCAATTACTACCCAAGCGGCTACAGAAGAAGCAACAACTGCCAAGGCTGCTGAAGAACCTATCACCGTTAAGGCTACAGAAGAAGCAACAACTGCCAAGACTGCTGAAGAACCTATCACCGTTAAGGCTACAGAAGAAGCAACAACTGCCAAGGCTGCTGAAGAACCTATCACCGTTAAGGTTACAGAAGAAGCAACAACTGCCAAGACTGCTGAAGAAGCTACAACTGTTAAGGTTGGAGAAGAAGCAACAACTGCCAAGACTGCTGAAGAAGCTACAACTGTTAAGATTGCCGAAGAAGCAACAACCGTCAAGGCTGCTGAAGAAGCAACAACTGCAAAGGCCGTAGTAGAGATGGATGGTGGATTGGACGATACGATTGATGAAGTCGAAAAGCCTGTTGAACCAAGCCACGATGAAGTGAAGACTACCATTGCACCTGCCGTTGAAGTTCCAGAACATGACGAAGATAAGAAACCTATGGAAGATGAAGAAGCCCAACCTGCAACAACCAGTGCTCCGGTGAGCCAGGATGCTATTACTCCAGAGATGCCACTGGAAGAAATGCATACTCAGATGCCACTCGAGTCGGATGATCAGATCAAGGAACACGAAGCTACAACGATCAAGGCGGTAGATGCACCAGCTACTCAGGCTGCACCAGCAGCCGCTGCCGATGTCGAAGCCGACGCTGAACAAAAACCAGAAGTACAGCCAACAGTTGATGATGAAAACGTTAGCTCTGAAGAGGAACAGGAACATGTACCAGTGAGCGCAGACGCCGGTGCTGACGATGAAGAAAGCAGCGAAGAAGCCATCGTCCAAGAAGTACCAGCTCCAACATCCGATGAGCAGGAAGAAGAGGATGATAAATCGACTGAAGATGATCAGAAACCACAGGAAGTGAAGCCAGTTGAAGATGAAAAGAAACCAGTGGCTGCCGATGAGGAAAAACCAGCTGAAGAAGAAATGAAGCCGGTGGCTAGCGATGCAGAAAAACCTGCTGAAGATGAATTGAAGCCTGCAGTTGAAGATGAAGAACAGAAACCAGTTGCTGTTGATGATGAGAAACCAGCTGTGGATGAAGCAGAACAGAAACCTGTGGCCTCTGATGACGAGAAACCAGCTGAAGACGATTTGAAGCCAGCTGCCGAGGATGAAGAACAGAAACCAACCACAGCAGATGATGACAAACCAGCTGAGGAAGAAAAGAAGCCAGTGGCTAGCGATGATGACAAACCAGCTGAAGGAGAAATGAAACCAGTGGCTGCCGATGAGGAACAGAAACCAGTTGCTATCGACGATGACAAACCTGCTGAAGAAGAGACAAAACCAGTTGTGGACGAAGCAGAACAGAAACCAGTTGCTTCTGATGATGACAAACCAGCTGTGGGCGAAGCAGAACAGAAACCAGTTGCATCTGATGATGACAAACCTGCTGAAGAACCGGTGACACCGGCTATGGATGAAGAAGAACAAAAACCAGTGGCTGTCGACGATGAGAAACATGCTGAAGAAGAATTGAAACCATCTGTGGATGAACTAGAACAGAAACCAGTTGTTGCCGATGATGAAAAGCCAGCTGAAGAAGAAATTATTCCAGTGGTGACCGTTGAGCAGAAACCTGTTGCGGAAAGTGACGAGAAGCCAACTGAAGTGGATGAAGAAGAGAAGAAACCAGTTGAAGAAGAAACCACTGTGGCAAGCGATGACAAGCCAGATGTTGAAGCTGAGGAAGAAAAGAAACCAGCCAGCGATGAAACCGCCACGACGTCAGCTCCAAGTGCTGATGAAGAACAGAAACCAGAAAGTGACGAATCTGTTACCATGGCCACTCCATCTACCGATGAAGAAAAACCAGCTATGCCAACCGCTGATGAAGAAGAGAAACCAACTGTTGCTGCCGATGCCGTTGAAGAACCTGAAGCTGACGAAGAAGAAGCTCATGCTACAACAGCTGCTCCAATGAAGGAAGCGGATGAGGAACAGAAACCTGTTAGTGCGGTTGACTTGGAACACGAACCAACGATGATGACCGATGATGATAAAACTCCTGAAGTGGTCAGCGACGATGACAAGGAACCAGAAGTTGGAGCTGATGAGGAACAGAAGGAATCTGATGAAACTGCACCTGCCACTACACCTGCTGCCGATGAAGAACAGAAACCAGCTGATGCTGATGAGGAACAAAAACCAGCTGGTGCTGATGAGGAAGAAAAGCCAGCTACCACAGCCACTCCAGCTAAGGATGACGAAATGATGGCTCCAGAATCTGATGCTAAGGATGAAGACATGGCCGCTACTCATAAACCAGAGCAAGATGAAGTGAAACCGGAAATTGAAGCCGATGAAGTCAAACCAACCGAAGCACCAGTCAAGGTTGAGGATGAAGTTGCTTCCGAAGAAGAAGAAGAACCACAGCACTCTGTTCCAGCCGCTCACGATGATCAGACCTCAGATGAAACCGAAGATGATACTCCAGCTGCCACTGAAGCTCCATTGAAGGAAGCTGACGAACCACAGGCTCCTACCACTATTGCTTCAATTGTTCCTGCTGATGATGAAGAAGAACAGAAACCAACTGAAGAAGAGAAGAAACCAGCACTAGATGAAGCTGAAATAAAACCAACCGACGCTCCAATGAAGGCTGACGATGAGGAACAGAAACCAGCTGTTGAACCAGTGGAAGCTGACGAACAGGAGTCTACTACACAAATGGCACAAGCAGAAGAAATGAAGCCTGTAGAAGCGGATGAGCAACAGAAACCAGTTGCCGCTACTGAAACTGCTGTCGAGGCTGACGAAGAAAAGAAACCTGCTGTCGAGGCTGATGAAGAAAAGAAACCTGCTGTCGAAGCCGACGAAGAAGAGAAACCTGCTGTCGAAGCCGATGAAGAAGAGAAACCTGCTGTTGTAACTGAAAGTGCCATCGATGCTGACGAAGAAAAGAAACCTGCTGTCGAAGCTGACGAAGAAGACAAACCTGCTGTTGTAACTGAAACTGCCATCGATGCTGACGAAGAAGAGAAGCCAGCTGCTGTTACCGAGGTTGCTATGGAGGCTGATGAAGAAGAGAAGCCAGCTGCTGTTACCGAGGTTGCTATGAAGGCTGATGAAGAAGAGAAGCCAGCTGCTGCTACCGATGCTACTGTTGAAGATGATGAACAGGAAGCACAGGCAACAATGGCTCCAGCAATGGATGCTGTAGAGGGAGATGAAGCGCAAAAACCAAAGCCTGCTACTGAATCTGATGAAACCGAAAAGGATCAAGAGCAACCAATTGTTGAACCAGTGGAAGCCGATGAAACTGAGAAGCCTGTGTCGACTGATGCACCAGTGATGGATATGGATGAGGAAGAGAAACCATCCTTTGAACCAGTGGAATCCGATGTAACTGAAAAGCCTGTGTCGACCGATGCACCAGTGCTGGATATGGATAAGGAAGAGAAACCAGCTGTTGAACCAGTGGAAGCTGATGAAGAAGAACAAAAACCATCTGTGGAACCAGTGGAAGCTGATGAAAAAGAACCAAAACCATCTGTGGAACCAGTTGAAGCTGACGAAGAAGAACAAACACCAGCTGTAGAACCAGTTGAGGCTGATGAAGAAGAACAAACGCCATCTGTGGAACCAGTTGAAGCTGATGAAGAAGAACAAACGCCATCTGTGGAACCAATTGAAGCTGATGAAGAGGAACAGAAACCAGATGTGAAACCAGTTGAATCTGATGAAGAAGAGCAGAAACCAGCTGTGGAACCAGTTGAAGCTGATGAAGAAGAAGAGAAACCAGCTGAAGAAACTGCTCCTACTACTGTCAGTTCAGTTATGGATGAAGTGAAGAAGCCAGAGGCCGGGGAACAGAAACCATCTCTCGATAAGGAAGAAGTACCAACCACTCAATCCACCATTAAGGACGATGATGAAGAGAAACCAGCTGAAGTTGAAGCAGATGAGGAGAAGAAGCCAGCAGAATCTACGACTATTGCGCAGATGGATGATCAACAACCATCGACAATGGCTACTCCGGTGAAGGAAGCTGATGAACAGCAGCCAACATTAGTTGAATCTGACGAAGAGGATAAGCCAGTTCCTGAGGCTGATGATCAGACGAAACCACTGGAGTCCGATGAAGAAGAGAAGACTACTGATGCACCGGTGAAGGAATCTGATGAAGAAGAGAAGCCAGCTGAAGTGCAACCAACTGCTGATGAAGCACAGAAGCCTGCTACCGAAGAAGAGGAAGTGAAACCGACTCCAACTGCTGATGAAGCACAGAAGCCTGCTACTGAAGACGAGGAAGTGAAACCGACTCCAGCTGCGGATGAAGAACAGAAGCCTGCCACTGAAGCAGAGAAAGTGAAACCGACTCCAGCTGCGGATGAAGAACAGAAGCCTGCCACTGAAGAAGAGGAAGTGAAACCGACTCCAGCTGCGGATGAAGAACAGAAACCTGCCACTGAAGAAGAGGAAGTGAAACCCACTCCAGCTGCGGATGAAGAACAGAAACCTGCCACTGAAGAAGAGGAAGTGAAACCAACTCCAGCTGCAGATGAAGAACAGAAGCCTGCTACTGAAGAAGAGGAAGTGAAACCAACTCCAGCTGCAGATGAAGAACAGAAGCCTGCTACTGAAGAAGAGGAAGTGAAACCGACTCCAGCTGCAGATGAAGAACAGAAGCCTGCTACGGAAGAAGAGGAAGTCAAACCGACTCCAGCTGCAGATGAAGAACAGAAGCCTGCTACGGAAGACGAAGAAGTGAAACCGACTCCAGCTGCAGATGAAGAACAGAAGCCTGCTACGGAAGAAGAGGAAGTGAAACCGACTCCAGCTGCAGATGAAGAGCAAAAACCAGAGCTGGATGAGACCATTGAAGAGGAACCAATCAAAACTGATGATGAAACGCCAGCAACTACTGCAACTGCTCCAGTCATGGATGCCGAAAAGGAAAGCGAAGATACTGGAAAACCTTCCCTTGAGGAAGAGCATGATGAAGTTCAGCAGACACCAGTGCAGGCCATTGAAGATGAAGATGAATCTGGAGAACATGAAGTTTCACCACCTGCTGCTACTCCTGCTGCAGATCAAGAACCACAGACAGTGGAAGCTGATGAGGAACCAAAACCAGAAATGGCTGAACCAGCTACTACTGCAGCTAGTGTTGCTGCTGTTGCCGATGAGGAAGAAAAGGAAGCTACATCAGCAGCACCAGTTAGCGATGAGAAGGAAGAAGATCAGCCAGCATCTGTGAGTCACGATGATGATGAGGCACCAGCGCCAACAACTGCCGCTGCCCCAGCCGAAGTTGAACAAGATGCAATTCCGACGACGATGGCTCCAGTTAAGGTTGAAAGCACAACTGATGCAGTGACTGAAGAACCAATCAAGGAAACAACTGCTGCGCCAATGGTGCCAGTTTTCGATGAAGAAAAGGAAGCCGATAAGCCAGCTGTTCCTGCTCAGGATGAAGTGCAGAAACCAGTAGAGGAAGAAGTACAGAAACCGGCTGAAGAAAAACCAGTTGAAGCCGACGAGGAAGAAGATCTACAACAACAAGCCAAGCCAGTGTTTGATGAAAAGGAAGAAGACATTCAGAAACCAGTGACACCTGGTTATGAAGACAGTTACTTCCCATCGAGCACAAGCACAAAACCAGAAGCTGAAACTCCAGGACCATCGTACGGACCACCAGGAGGCCAGCACTACGATCCAGGATATGGACATATGCCACCACATTACCCACCATCGTCATACGAAGACGACTACACCGATGAGGAAGATCCAGCCTCGTTTGGACCGGGAACTTGCCGATACGGTGGCAAGCTCTACGTCTCCGCTCAGCAAATTCCACGTGAAGATCCGTGCGATTTCTGCTTCTGCTTCCGCAGCGATATTATCTGTTTGCAGCAGTCGTGCCCACCTCCAATCAGCGGATGTCACGAGGAGCCAATTTCCGGTTTCTGCTGTCCGCGGTACGAATGTCCTGTCTCGATGGCTACGGTGCTCAACGTTACGACCAGTACGACCACCACGACCACGACGCTGCCACCGCACTTCCTGTCGCACGCCTACAAGGGCTCAGTGACGAAGCGTGGTTGTCAGATCCAGGGCAAGGCCTACCAGGTCGGTGAAACCGTGGCGTCTGCCAGCGGTCCTTGCATGCGATGCTTGTGAGTATTAGCAGCTTTTGGTTATTTTCATTTCAGAAGTGAAACTCTGATTGACATTCATTTTGTATTTTTATCTCCTTTTGCAGATGTGGCGGAGATGGCCAGATGAAGTGCGAACCCAAGGCGTGCAGTCCAGAGCCAATGTTGCAGCAGATGATTGCCGTGGCAGCATCCCGAAGGAGATGAAGCGACTAGACAGGTAGCCAACGAGCGAGCGAGCGTACGGAATGGAAGAAGCAAGAGAGAGATTAGACAAGAGAGAGAGCGAGATTGCGAGCGAATACAACGTTAAGGAGGTAATCTCACGTTAGAATTCATTTTCCATCTAGAAAATGAAGAACTGTGCGAAATGGGTAACCAGTAATAGGAAGGAGATGTGGTTGTCTGTGCTGCATCTCTAGGCGAGTAGTGAAAGGCGAACGATGGCAAACAAGAAAAAAGAGAAAGAGACGTCACACGAAACAAAGTAGCTCATTATTTCAAAAGACTTGAAACAACAACAATCACTCACAGAACGCAGCAAAAACTCACGCACAAACACACACACACACACACACACATATATACACAAACAGACGAATACGCACTAACTAACACATACGCAAACAGATCAGTATAGCCGAGACAACGATTTCTAGATCAAGGCTCACCTGATTGACGACGGCCATTTTGGAACCATTCCATTATGGCTGACTTCGATCAGGTGAGCTGGTACTCTAATTATTTCTTGTGTATAGGAGAATTTTTTCGACGTGACAAAATATCGAATTAATTTACGAAAACTAAAAACAACAAACCGTTAGGTAAAATACCAGAAAGTGGTCGTCGTGTCTCATACAATTACTTCTAGTCTCTCTGTTTTACGTTTTTTTAATAGAAAGGAATGGCAAAGGAAACGAATCGGGAAAGTTTAGCAATGAATCGCAGCAGAACAAACACAGACTCACACCCACTCAAATCGCCGAAATCTTGTCTTTTTTTTAACGTAGATGCTTGTTTTTAGAGACGTAAAAATCTCTGATCAAAATTAAGACACACACACACATCGAAACGATACCCCCCTCAGTGCGCTCTTGTAAGTGTAAAAATCTAACCTCAATGTGAATGTTATTTTTTATACATGGATATGAATATGCATTTCCGTTTTTTACGTGTTAAATTTATTAATTTTTGATGTAATAGAACGTGTAGAATACGAGTGCAAGAGTGAGAACGCGATGGTGCATCGACTCGCCCCTCGTACTGAACGCTCTTCTCTATGTGTCAACCGTTTCATTTTTCATTTCGATGAAAGGAACGCAAATCTCACTGCATAGGAAAACAAAAGAGAAAAATAACGATGATACGAGACTTGTAGGAATGAATAGGATTAAGAGACTAACTTTAGCTGCCCCCTCCTCTCCATCACCCTTGAATTCTTTTGATTTCTCAAATCAGGCTGACAGTCCGTGACTCACTTTTGAAAGTGTTACCAACGCCTACTCAGTTTCCACGGTGACAAGAAAAAAAAGAGAGACACCCACTTTGAACAATACAAAATCATTTACATGCACACACACTCACATCCAGAACGTAGCAAGCTCACATAAACACAAACGAGGACACAAGATGTGATATGTATTATTAACACAAACGAAAAAAAAAACCTTTTAACTATAGCGCATTTTGGGCATAAATAGACACACATTCCATCGTACCAGAAGAAGTTTTCGAAACAAGAAAAACTAAATCACGAAACCTCGTTTGAGAAGGTAGTAGGTAGTTAGGTGGGAGTCCGCATGAGCCAGTTCCGTCAACGTGCTCGACCGACCGAATTCAATTCGATCGCTTGAACCTGATGGATCCGGCCCCGGTCACCCACCTCCAGAGATCAAAATAGAACGAACAAAATTTACCTTTTTCCGACTCTCTGGTCGTCTCTCATATTTTCTCCCACCCAATCCAGCCGATTTCCATGGCGCACCACTTTGGAGAGTGCTTTTTCAAAACCATTCACTCACACTCACTACCGAAATAATATGGTCGCGGGGGCGAGCAGAGAGCGTGAAAGATGTAAATATTATTAATTTATAGACAGAGAAGAAAAAAGTGAATTAATCTAAAAAAAAATGACAGTAGGGTTTTAAACACATTTTTTTTTAACTTTCGGACAGAAGTAAACAGAGTAAAAGTGCTCGAAGTAATTCAAAATTATCAAATAATTAAACTAATTAGAACGAAAAGCTCAAAGTAAGTAAAAGAAGAGAGTATTTTTATCTAAGTTTATGTGTTTCTGTCACTTCTTTTTTATATTTGTATATTTGCCATAATTTTAATCAGTTTCAAAAAGCTACTTTCTCAAAAATAATTTTTTGAAGGATAACTCATACTAATATGAAAACGAAATGGAAAAAAATGCAAGTTAAGCAATATTCAAATTTAGACAAGATCCCTTCCAAAAAAGCATAAAAAGACAAAAAAATGCAAACCGAATATTGAACCTATCGATTTAAATGTATTACTTAGCTATTAATTTACTCAGAAGAAAGCAAGCTCATGCATAACTGTAGATCCCGAAAGCAGCGAACACAGAAACCAGTGTTGGAAAATGTCGACTGAAAGAATGAGTCGTAAAACCAAGAGCTCTTCGTGTGAGTGTTTGCCAAAACACCTCCCGAAAGCACACTCAGGCGAACGCAAGCAAGAGAGAGAGATAGAAAGAAAGAGCGAAAACGCATGAACCGGAGCGACATTAGCTCGCCCGTGCTGTACCTTCTCCCATATTCGCTCCCGTGAGTGACCATGATTCACGCGGACACTCACGGCATTCTTATTTATTTACTACTAACAATGAAATGTGTTTCTACCTTCCTAATCACTAAACAACAAGTTGCAATTGATCGTTAAACTCACCACCACAAGACAACTACTGAAAGTACTTATCTAGGGTGAAGTTCGTGTTTTAATCAAACCTCCCAAATATGTAGCAATGATAGACAGCGTGAAAATGAATCATGTTAGCTTTCTTCCTTAAATTATTATCAAATTTTAAAGTGAAAACAGGATAAAACTTGCTAGCAACCGATCGTGTTTGGATTGCTTCCAAATTTTATCCTTTACCAAACGATGACCTCTTCCGCTGTCTATGGAAACCGAACATAGAATAAACCAATTTCGAGCGAGCGAACACAAACACAAAGAGAAGGTGTAAACGGCACGGCTGCGACCAGAAATCTTGCTCGGGTTCAAAAATCGAGAGAACAGATTTTTTTTTATTAAGATCATTAATTTATATAGAAACAAGAAAACGAACAACCAGCGAGCACAACTGAAGCTTGTAACGCGGAATTTCCTTGTATGATTTGTGAAACGTCTGTAGGTAAAAACCTTCCGGTTCAATATTCCTTTTCTGTGCGAATCAACACACGTTTGAAAGTTTGAAGCATAACAAACAAAACAACAACAACATCAAAACAATGAAGTAAATTAAGAAGATCAGCGTAAATTGAATACAAATCAACAAACGGAAGCAAATGAAACGACGTGAAAAGAAAGGAAGCAAAAGAATATGAGAAAAAATCAGGATATTTTTAAGTGTCCTTTTATACTGAAATAAAATTTTTACGTAAAAATTGAATAAAAATACACCAAACTGTGAGTTGCTTTATCCGAAAATCTACATTAGACAACAACAAAATCAACAAATGTCATCCTCGGGTTTGAACAAAGTGTCCATATCACTCAACGGACAAGGCCAGAGGTTCCAAGGTTCCTTGCTGCAGGACAACTCTTGGAGGGTCACTAGAAGGTCCCTCAAAACAATCAAAATCGATACCAGCGGTCGAAATTTTTTTGGGAAAAATAATTCTGAATACTAAAATTTAGTAAGATAGTCTTATGGAATGACGTTTATATAAGGTCCGGGCCAACAAGCGGCTTGCTGGTGTTATAAGCAAACATATTGTAAACATTGCTGAGCACTCAAGTGACGACGTCACTCTACCATAACATTCCATACTGCGAACAGTGAGATTTACGTCACTGCCAACAGCTGTTTCGTGTAAAAAGATAAACATTAGAATGAAATACGAACACCATTAAACTTTTACATATTTCACTAATACCATAGAGGTAACTCTAAGACCACTGGGTCCCGAAGAAAATCATTATTATTTTTGGCTCACTCAGTACCAGAACAACGGTCCCAAGCAGTCCCAAGCTATTTCACTCACCCCTGCATGTTCTGCATGAATCCACACACCCCTGATGTTATCTGTCAAACTTTCATAGCGAATCAAAACAAACATAGTGTAGTAATAGAATTTCAACTAGAATAGGGTACGTTAATCGTTTGCTTGGGACCAATAGGCTACTAAAGTGGTGAGCCAATTTAAAATCGTTAGTTTCGTATTGATTGTTGCTAATACCAATAAGCCTGTTGGCCCGGACCTTATATAAATTACATTGGTATAACCAGGCATTCTGAAGCTGGATCTGCAGCAGAGCCAACAATCAATACGAAACTAACGGTTTTAAATTGGCTCACTGCTTGCGTAGCCTATTGGTCCCTAGTACTTCTATCATAGAGGTAACTCTAAGACCACTGGGTCCCGAAGAAAATTATTATTATTTTTGGCTCACTCAGTACCAGAACAACGGTCCCAAGCAGTCCCAAGCTATTTCACTCACCCCTGCATGTTCTGCATGAATCCACACACCCCTGATGTTATCTGTCAAACTTTCATAGCGAATCAAAACAAACATAGTGTAGTAATAGAATTTCAACTAGAATAGGGTACGTTAATCGTTTGCTTGGGACCAATAGGCTACTAAAGTGGTGAGCCAATTTAAAATCATTAGTTTCGTATTGATTGTTGCTTCTATGGCGTACCCCATTCTTATGATTCGGTACTGGAATCTGTCAAAGTCTGTCTGTATTTGTTTTCGTTTCGCGTAGGTGCTTTGTTGTGCTGCATGCGCCGTCACCGGAAGTTTCAGGATCTGGTATTTTCTACGGTGTGTTTCTGCCGTTTCTACAGACTTCCTGCTCAAAAATACTATCAACAATCAATACGAAACTAACGATTTTAAATTGGCTTACCACTTTAGTAGCCTATTGGTCCCAAGCAAACGATTAACGTACTCTATTCTAGTTGAAATTCTATTACTACACTATGTTTGTTTTGATTCGCTATGAAAGTTTGACAGATAACATCAGGGGTGTGTGGATTCATGCAGAACATGCAGGGGTGAGTGAAATAGCTTGGGACTGCTTGGGACCGTTGTTCTGGTACTGAGTGAGCCAAAAATAATAATGATTTTCTTCGGGACCCAGTGGTCTTAGAGTTACGTCTATGATACTATCAACAATCAATACGAAACTAACGATTTTAAATTGGCTCACCACTTTAGTAGCCTATTGGTCCCAAGCAAACGATTAACGTACCCTATTCTAGTTGAAATTCTATTACTACACTATGTTTGTTTTGATTCGCTATGAAAGTTTGACAGATAACATCAGGGGTGTGTGGATTCATGCAGAACATGCAGGGGTGAGTGAAATAGCTTGGGACTGCTTGGGACCGTTGTTCTGGTACTGAGTGAGCCAAAAATAATAATGATTTTCTTCGGGACCCAGTGGTCTTAGAGTTACCTCTATGATACTATCCCGTCGCTTGTCGGATGGTAGCGAGGATTGTGTCAACTCATCCGGAATGTTGCCCGAACCCCAATCAGAGAAAATTAAAAGTCGTGGAACAGGAAGAGCAAGTGCTGAAGTTGGCTGAATGAATGTGTTGCTCTGTGCAACAACCCAACCGCTAAAAAGGTCTCACATCCCATCTATGCTTTGTGGCTTATTGGTCTGGAAATACCGAACAAAATGCGAAAAGTAACCGAGGTAACGTATTAAAAATTCTGGCGGTATCGAGGGATGAGTGTATAGACGTTGCATAGTGGACTTGGAACCAAT